GGTCCTTGGAGAGGGACATCATGCTTGGGAGGGTGGAGGGACGGCACAGGAGGGGAAGACCCTCTATGAGATGGACTGATTCAGTGACTGGGGTAATCAGGATGGGTTTGTTGGAGGCAGTGCTAGAGCAGGGTTTAGGGCTGTTGTACATAGGGTGGCTATGAGTCGCAACCGACTCGACGGCACATAACAACAACTGACAACTCAGTATGAAGGGAACTGCACTCCTAACCTAAAGGTGGTTCAAGTCCTCACAAAAAAGATGAGCAAATTCCTCTTGTGCAATTTACAGCCTTGGCAGCACAATGAAATACTAGTTTTGAATCAGTTCCAACTTAATGGAGTGGAGTTAATGTATTAAGAAGGATCTAATCTTCATAGTGCAATCTTTTTCAGTTGTTGCCAGGTGCAATCAAGTGACTACAACTCACAGAATCCCTCTGAATAATAGGCAGAAACTTGGCCTTATCTTGTGCCATCTTCACATTTGCTACTAATCTAAAACCTATTGTCTCAGTCACTGTGTCCATCCACTCATTAAGGGATGTTCTCTTTTGCCAATCCTCTACTTTTCCCAAAGACTGGCACCTCCTGATAACATGTACACAGTATGTGAAATCCTTGACAATGTCAATCTACACGCCATCTGTCAAGATGTTTCCCATTGGTCCAGTAGTGAGGATTTTTGTTTTCTTGATGTTGAAATATAAACCATATTGAAAGCTGGTGTCTTTAGTCCTTCAGTAAGTGTTTAAAGTTGTCTTCATTTTTTAGCAATGGAAGGCTTTTTAAATGAAAACAAACATGGAATCTTAAAGATATAAAATAAAGAGTTGTACTGTGGTTGAAGGAGGAGGTTTTCTCATAATAAAATACTGCAAAATGATCACCCACCCAAGTCTAGAGCCTTAGGTCAGTTTCCATTAAGTTAATTTCAACCAAAACTTTAATAATCTTGCTGTGGGCATGCCAATAAACAATATAGCAATTAAAACTTAAACTAAAATC